TTCAGTCTTCTTCAGTGTTCGCAAGATTGATGATCCCATTGGACTTCTGCCGGGTCGGATTATTTTGGGCATCAACAAAAGAGGGGTGAGTTCGTTTACGAATTAATATATATATATATATATGCGTGTGTGTGTGTGTGTGTGTGTGCACATTGTAATGTTATACTGATATTATAATATTACATTCCTCAGGTTCATTTTTTCCGTCCGGTTCCAAAGGAATATCTACATTCAGCTGAGCTAAGAGACATAATGCAATTTGGTAGTAGCAATACTGCTGTTTTCTTCAAAATGAGAGTTGCAGGTGTTCTTCACATATTCCAATTTGAAACTAAGCAGGTTTTGGCACCTCTCCAAGCTAGCAGTTTGTTGATCAATCATTTTTGGGTTTTTTTCTAATGCCTCTTCACTTATACGTTTTTACTTAGATGCATTTCTCTTTTCCATACAGGGTGAAGAAATTTGTGTTGCTCTTCAAACACATATAAATGATGTCATGCTGCGGCGATACTCTAAAGCTCGGTCTGCTACTAGTGGTTCAACAAATGGAGATCTTTCAAACAATTTTAAGCCCTCTGATGTTGAGATGTATGAAAAACGTGTACAGGATTTGTCAAAAGCTGTTGAGGAATCTCAGAGGAATGCTGATCAAGTAAGAAAATAAGATTTTAATGCATTGAATGTTGGTTACTATAGTTATATGGTGGCTGAATGAAACTATGTGAATTCAGTTGCTAGAAGAATTGCGTGAAAAGCAAAAACAAGAAGCTAAATTGCAAGAAGATTTAGAAAGTTTGAAGCAGTTCTTGGCATTTGAGAAGCAAAACGTGACAGAAGTTACATCTGAGCATGATAGGCTTAGATCATCATGTGATGAAAAGGATAAGGCACTTCAGGTTAGTGTGATTAATTTTCTTGAATTGTTCTTTGCACTCAATGCTGCTATAAATTATTGACATTGATTCCCAAATTCATTAGGCTGCACTATTAGAGAAGAAGGGCTTGGAAGGAAGGCTGGCAAAATTGAGTAATCTAGTGGCAGAGAAAAATAACAAAACTCAACTAGGTGGTGGAAAGAACCAGGTAAATATTGATGAATATATATTTTGGTATTGCTTTAATAAAGCTGGTTCTTTCAAATGCTAGATTAAGATGGTCAGTATTGGTTGTGATCTTTCATATGTGGTACAGAATCTCGAGGATGAGATAAAGCTTCGTAGTGAGGAATTGCAAGCAAAAGAAGAAATTATAAGGAGACTAACAGATGAAAAATTGTTATTGGAGCAAAGGATATCTGGGATTGAGAAAACTAAAGCTGATGAGGTAATTCCCTTGGGCTTTGACATCTGAATTTGGTGTTGGGAATGTTTGTTTTCTTCAAAACGCTTTTATTTTCTTTTCTTTTGGTACCCAATGTAGAAATCAAATATCTTATTGAGTGTTAACGGTGCAGATTGATTTTCTTGAGAAAAAAAATGAGCAAGAGCGCAAAGCATTAAAGCTTCGAGTGTTAGAACTTGAAAAGAAGCTTGAAGGAGTTAATCAAGAATTAGCTGTTGTAAAGTCAACTCTTGCCACCAAGAACTCTGAGATTGCTTCATTGCAAAGTAACTTAAAGGAATTGGAGGAATTGAGAGAAATGAAGGAGGTAATGATGATCCTTTACTAGATTCTTTATTTAGTTTCTTTTGTTTGGATTTTTTTTTATCTATAAGGTTGCAATATTTGTGAACATTTTGCAAATGAATTTCTATTGATTTCAGGACATCGATAGAAAGAATGAGCAAACTGCTGCCATATTGAGGATGCAAGGAGCTCAACTAGCTGAGTTGGAAGTGCTTTACAAAGAGGAACAACTTTTGAGGAAGCGCTATTTTAATACTATAGAAGGTTGGTGTTTCTTTAAAATACTTCTGATATTTGATTGAGCATTTTTTCAATCTTTTCAGTATCAGTGACAAACTTTTGTCCATTTGGATACTTTCCAGATATGAAAGGCAAGATAAGAGTTTTTTGTCGTTTAAGACCATTAAATGAAAAAGAAATTGCAGACAAAGAAAGAGGTACTACTACGAGTGTCGATGAGTTCACGGTTGAACATCCATGGAAAGATGATAAACTCAAACAACATACATATGATCGTGTGTTTGATGGTAATGCTACACAACAAGATGTGTTTGAAGACACAAGGGCAAGTTTTCTTCTATTCAGTTGATAAGTAAATTTATTTTTCTTAATTGCTATGAAATATACATGTGTAAATAATCTGTAATATGCTAACTATTTTTTGTCCATTTAATGCAGTATTTGGTACAATCAGCTGTAGATGGGTACAATGTGTGCATATTTGCATACGGGCAAACGGGTTCTGGAAAAACATATACTATTTATGGTTCAGATGCTAATCCTGGACTCACTCCACGAGCAACTGCAGAACTTTTTAAAATAATGAAGCGAGACAACAACAAATTCTCATTTTCATTGAAGGTATGTGTTGGTGGTTCTATATAATGATCATTTGTTGCCACTCAATTTTCTTTTTTTTAAATATGTTAAATCAATGCATATTTGGTTTACATTTTTGTATGGGCGTTTGGTTACATGTTAGCCGTTGCCATTTGCAGCCCTCACAAAAGATATATATGATTATTGTGATGTTTGCTTTTTTCTATCCAAATTTAAGACTTTTGTTCATATATTAAGCACAATAAAAACATCTGTTCAAATGTAAGACAATGCGAGTAAGATGACAAGAAGTCCATCATATCTAGGTTAACACTCTTAAACAAATATACAAGTTACTTTCATTATTGTTGTTTAGACTTGATAATGGTATTCATCTATATATTTTTGCGCAGGCATACATGGTGGAGGTGTATCAGGATACACTTGTGGACCTTCTCTTACCAAAAAATTCTAAGCGTTTGAAATTGGATATCAAGAAAGATTCGAAGGTAATCTGTTTATTGAGGTCTATAATGTTTTGTAATTCTACAAGTCATGTGGTTTTTATAAGACTATGATGAATGTTTTGAGATGTTATGCATATGTGGTCCTTAAATTTCTATGTTATCAAAATATTTTGTTTTGGAATTTGGCCTCATTTTTTTGATTAGTAAAACTATCTTTGAGTTCACTCTCAATGTTTCATTTGTGATGTTAGGGTATGGTTTCTGTTGAAAACATAACGGTTCTATCAATTTCAACATATGATGAACTGAAAAACATCATTCAAAGAGGGTCAGAACGAAGACATGTAGCTGGAACTCAAATGAATGAAGAAAGTTCAAGATCTCATCTCATCGTTTCAATTGTCATTGAAAGTACCAACCTTCAAACTCAATCAGTAGCAAGAGGAAAGGTATATTTTCCAAAATAAATGAATAAATATTTGTTCATGCACCTTGGGTAAATGTGATGCACATTAGTTGCATTCACTCATGCATGGTTTCATTTGAAGTTATGCTCATAATGTCTTTCCTTTATATAATCATCTGCAGCTAAGTTTCGTGGATCTTGCTGGTTCGGAAAGAATAAAGAAGTCAGGCTCTTCAGGCAGTCAACTTAAAGAAGCTCAAAGTATTAATAAATCACTTTCAGCACTCGGAGATGTTATCAGTTCTTTGTCTTCTGGTGGTCAACACATACCCTATAGGAACCATAAATTGACGATGTTGATGAGTGATTCACTTGGTGGTAATGCTAAGACGCTAATGTTCGTTAACGTTTCTCCTATCGAATCAAATGTGGATGAGACATACTGTTCTATTGTTCTTAGTGGCATTTTGATATTATATAACTTTGTTTATTTAGACACACAATTCTCTAATGTAAGTTCTATTGTTCTTAGTTGCATGTTGATATTATGTAACCATGTTTATTTATTAAATTAGTTTGTAGTGATGTGGCTTTGATTGAAATCTTGGTTAAGTGTGATATTCTGTTTGAAAAAAAAAAATCACACTTTTTTGCTGATTCAGGTATGCATCAAGAGTTCGGTCGATTGTGAATGATCCAAGCAAAAATGTTTCTTCAAAAGAGATCATGCGACTGAAAAAGTTGGTTGCATATTGGAAAGAGCAAGCAGGCAGGAGAGGGGACGAAGAGGATTTGGAAGAAATTCAAGAAGAGCGACCAGTGAAAGATAGAGCAGATGGCCGCCATTCCATGTAACTTTTCTCCTACACTAATGTGGCGCAACTTCTAATTGGCAATACTGGTAGTACTACAAGTTCTTAGGAAGAATTTTGGAATGTAATCTAGGGCTTTGGAAAGGTGGATCGCATTGATCGAGCATACTAGATTGGTTCTATTCTAGTTGCTATTGTGTTTTGGGGTCCCGATGATCTCTTTCTGTGATTGTACTCTGGATAAAAAAAGAGGGGTTGTAATTGGCTTAGGAGGATGTTAGTTGTACAGTCTGGATGGTGTGTATATATATGGCATTTTCTTAATTTGACATGTACACGTCTTCTTCTTTCATATTGTCTTCTGATTTTTTTTTTCATTCATATTTTTGTTTCAGATACAATAATGTCAATCATAATTTTACATATTGCCAAATGATAAATAATAAATAAATAAAAAGAACAAAAAGGGAAAATCTTATATATACTGTGACTTAATCACACTTATCTTTTTCTCCTATTTTCACTCTAAATTGTACATTGTATTTGGCTTAATAGTGATGTTTCCATTTGAATTTTCTGTCAACATCAATATGTTCCCAAACCACAAGATGATTGATGACGATATAATTGATAGGCATTAAGTCTGTTTTTCTTTTCCCTCCTCATTTTGTTGGCAAAAAGTGAACCTCCACATGGATTGCGTGCTTTTTTTTCACTTCTTTGCCGGTCCATTATAATAATCTTTCCTTAATTAGTACATAAGAAATGCTTATGGACAACCATTCAATTCCCAATGACTAAAATCCAATCCCAATGAACAACTGCATTTTCAGAATTTGAGGTCTGACTGTCCACACTTTACAGACTACAGTCATAGCCAGATAGGAAAGGGTAGAGAGCAGAAAACAAAACAAAAAACAAAAACAAAAATTCAGAACAAATGGGTGGGGGTGAAGATTGCATGATCATCCCAGTGATTGATATGCAAAAGTTTCCAGATGCAGAAGAGTACAAGAAACTGAGGGAAGCATCTGAGATATGGGGCTGCTTCAGGCTTATCAACCACAAGATCCCATTGGCTCTTATGAAGGAGATGAAGGCTGTGGTCAGATCCCTGCTTGACCTGCCCATGGAGATCAAGCAGCAGAACAAGGATGTCATAGCTGGTAGTGGCTACATGGCACCCAGCAAAGTCAACCCTCTTTATGAGGCTCTGGGTCTTTATGACTTGGGCTCACCTGAGGCTGTGCATACTTTTTGCTCTAAGTTGGATGCCTCTTCCCACCAGAGGTTAGCTCTGCAACTCATAATACTCCATTATTTCTACTAATTATTGTTAATAGTTTGTGTTGTTTTAGCTTGATGGGTTAGCAAACATCAAAAACTAGCTGCCCAGATTAAGTTTCAACCTTAAAAATCCAACTTGGTTGATAGTTATATGTGTTATTTGCTTACCAGAGTCTTGAAGTTGTTTTTTGTTGTTGAGTGTGCAGAGAGATAATATCGAAGTATGCTCAAGCAGTGTATGATCAGATTGTGGAAATAGGGCACAAGTTGGCAGAGAGTCTTGGGTTGGAAAATGTTGATTTTCTCAATGGCTGGCCTTGCCAGTTTAGGATAAACAAGTACAACTTCAAACCTGAATCAGTGGGCTCTTCTGGTGTACAGATACACACAGATTCAGGATTTCTAACCATTCTTCAAGATGATGAAAATGTTGGTGGTCTAGAAGTGATGGATAAAGCTGGTGCCTTTGTCCCAGTTGATCCTTGCCCAGGCACTCTCCTTGTCAATCTTGGGGATGTTGCTCAGGTATGAGAATTAGGTCCATGTTTTTCTTCTTCTTTTTTGCGAATTTGCCTTTTTTTAAACTAAGGTAAGGTAATTTTGTTCTTATTGATGTTTTGATACCAAGGCATGGAGCAATGGGAGGTTGTGCAATGTGAGGCATAGAGTGCAATGCAGGGAGGCAACGATTCGAGTTTCGATTGCTACATTTCTCTTGGGACCAAAGGATCAGGAAGCCGTGGAGGCTCCTCCGGAATTCGTGGATTCGGAGCATCCACGGCTCTATGTCCCTTTTACTTATGAAGACTATAGAAAGCTCAGGCTCTCTTCAAAATTGCAGGCTGGTGAAGCCCTTGCTCTCCTACGTACCACCCCATCCTAATTGCTGATATGAACCAAAGCTTAGCTATAGCATATATCAGCTTTCCATTTTAACCCATCTCCAATGCATAAATAGAAGCGAACGTAAGCTCATTGTAAACGCAGTTACATTTGCAGACCATTTATATCCAAATAAGTAACTTAATAAAATCCATATTTGCCCAATTGCACTAGATTTGTTTCTGTTTTCCATTTGCTGATAGAGATTCTTTTACCATTTCTAAAGGAAGTTTGAATTTTTCCTTATTGACAAATACAACAATTTGGTTTTCAAGACAAGGCATGTCGATTCAGTCACATCTTGTCTCAACTACTCTGAAATCTTCATAGTCATGACTTTGCAGTTAACTTCTGAAAAGCCCTAATCTTTAATTCACACAAGAAATAGAAAACTCAACGGTTCTAATCATTTTTGCGTGAGAAAAAGGCCCGTTGAGTTGAATACAGAATCGAACATGCATTTATACAGAAACGGTCAGATAAGGAGTCAAGTTTATAAAGGGGAGAACATGGGTGGGGAAACAAGATGTACACACTTAAAAATATCAACAAGATGTACAAACTTACACGTGGAAAAGCACCTTCGGTGACAAACAAAACAAATGAGAAAAAAGAAACAGTATTTAAACTAGGAAATTTCTTTTTATTTTATTTATTTTTTAAAAAGAAAAGTGGAAGAATAAATAAATTGAAACGTGTGGCTCACTGGTTCTAGTGATAGGATGACAAAATTAAGCATCTTAAACTTAAACAAGGGAGGAGCTGTCGCTATATCCTCCTGCTCCTCCATAGCTGTCCTGGCTGTCGTAGCGTGAGCGTGGGGTCCATTCAGATCTATCCGAAACTGACATCCCAAGAGGCCATGACGACGTCGTGTTCACAGTGTTGGCTACGCTGCTGACTCCTTCAGGCAGAGAGGAGGAGGGCCACACAAAAGCGGGTTTAAAAGGCGGGACTCGGGGCACCGGAACCGAAGCGGAAATGATTTGGATAATGGCCTGGGTCTTGGGCCTCTCATTGGCAATAGGGTGAGAGCAGGCCAGCCCAAGAAGCAAAAGCCTCTCAGCTTCCTCTGCCACGTAATCACCCCCAAGCCTCTCGTCCACGGCCTCCAAAACACGCCCTTCTCTATGCAAGGACCAAACCCAATCCACCACACACTGAAACCCGCCCATTTTGGTCCATGGTCGTTGACCGCACGCAACTTCTAGAAGCACTGCCCCGAACCCATACACATCAGACTCGCACGTGGCCTTGCCCGTGTGGAAGCACTCGGGTGCGATGTACCCCATTGTGCCCGGTACACCCTCGAGCTCCGCATACGAGGTTTTCTCGTTGTCCAAGGCACGTGCGAGGCCAAAGTCGCCGAGGCGGGAGTTGAAGTGGGAGTCTAGCATTATGTTGCTGGCCTTGAGGTCTCTATGGATCACTCTTTGGTCGTACTCGTTGTGGAGGTAATGCAAGGCGGACGCCACCCCGGATACAATTTTGTACCTTTGGCTCCAGCCTAGTGTTGCATTCTCAGGACCCCCGAAAAGGTGGTTGTCCAAGCTACCGTTCGGCATGTACTCGTATACTATGAGTAGCATCCCAGTTCTGTGGCACCATCCTGCATGTTTGTTTTTGAATGGGATTGTTAAAATGTGTGTGGAAGCAGAAAAAGTCAAACATGAGCGTAAGAAAACGATTCTAAATAGCATCTCCCGTATGTAGATATGAACGTAGGAAAACGAAAGGGTAACACAATTTGGATATTAGCGTTTGGAATAGCATAACCCAGTTTTGAGCTATTATTAATTTCCAATTGTGACATCTAAAACAACTCATCAATAGATGGATTTGTACGGCTTGACCTATTCATCAGTTCGTTGGATATGGAACAATAGGCACAAGTGACACACAGCCACAATGGTTGACCAATAGCATCTACAGAATGACAGTGGACTTCGGGGATTGGCAATTTGGCATGCATGTGCTTAAATAATATAGTCCTAATATAATCCTAATTGGTGCATTAGGAGCCAAAGAATCAGTCGGCGGCTATTGTTGTATACCTACCCGGTAAGAGACTGAAAACGACATGGCGTGCCTTGTTAGGTGAGCAATTAGGACTAAACAGAATTAGCTTAAGATTCAGTTTGTGTGCGACGAGTTCAATTAGCCTCATGGCCATCATGGGCAGATTGCCCCAGGGGCCCGCCATATTAATTAATATATCCCATGCTAATAATTAGTTATTATTAATTAAATCTATAGTTTGGATAAATCCACAAACAAATAAATCCTAAGCCTTAGATCAAAGAAAAGATTATGTTATGTGCAGACATAAATTAAGTCAATTGATAAAAATAAAAATAAAAAAAATTTGAATTACCAAGTAGCCGGACGAGATGCTTGTGGCGGAGGCGGTTGATGATGGTGAGCTCAGCCAAAAAGTCGTCTTTACCCTTGAGATTATCCCGCGAGAATTTCTTCACAGCCACTTCCAAATTCTCTTTGGGTAGCACACCTCTATAGACCACCCCAAACCCACCTTGACCTAGCTTGTGCTTCTCGTCGAAGTTGTTCGTAGCCTTCTTCAGCTCCTTGAACTCAAACTCCCTTGGAGTGCCCGGAAGGCTCTTGAGTGCCCCTAAGATATTCTGATCGGAAGCGGCGGCCCTCCGCCTCTTGTGCACGTAATATACCAGCCCTCCCAAGCCCAACAGGAGCAGCACCACCACGGGTACACCCACTCCAAGTCCTATCTTCAGCCCCTGACTTTTGCTATCTTCACTCCCGACACCTGACAAATTCTCCACCGTCAGATTCCATCTCAATAAGCAATTGAGCTGGATTGCACTGCCGGTCGACGCAGAGAAACCGAAGTAGGAATTCTGCTCCACAATGTCCTTGAGACTGAGATTAGCCGTTAAGATTGGAGTTGTGGGCCTGGGCCTGATGACGAAATCGCTCGTTTTTGGGTCCTGCAACTGTTCGGCCATGAACACTTCTAACTGACGCGAAACGCCGTCGTACTGGACCCAGACCATGTAAAATTTGGTAGTGTTTGGGGCGATCTGGATATCCAGATCCGAGAGTGAAACGGTCTTGTTGGATCGGATCGAGTTGATGTTGAGGCCCAAATGGTTGTCGTCCGGGTCGAAGCTTTGCTTAAAAGTGTCGAGCTCGACGGCGAGGAGGTGGTTGCTGGGGTTCCCATCGGAGGCCGCGTTGGTTAAACCGAGGTATTGACCGTCGCTGCCTTGAGGGAGGGTGAGATTCGGTGCTATGAGGAAGGCCAGGCCCTCTCCGGGGACGGCGGAGCTGTTGACACGAAAGACGTTAACGAGGAACGACGTATTGAAAGACGCCACGCGTCCCGAGGCTCCGGTTGTGGCGGAGCCAGGAGAATCTGAATCGGTCCAGAGCACGAAAGACTGGTTGAAGAAGACTCTACCTGAGCGGTTGGCGAGCGTGAAGTTGCCGGCGGAGTCCGGCGTGATCTGGAGCGCCTCGTTGCTGATCGTCGCCGGCTTGATCACCGCGAACGTGTTGTAATACGATTGGTCGAAGGGGCCCCACTTGTGCTGAGATGTCTCGAGGTTCTGAGCGTCGGAGAAAGCCGCTGCGGGAAAAAGCAGAAGCAGCAGAAGCACCATGCCGGAAGTGATCAGAGCCAGCTGCTTCAGCTTCATGTGGTAGCTGCTGCTGCTGCTTCTGGAGCTAGACGACGCCGTTGCACAGTTCAAAAAATGATGAGGAGATCGAGGGAGAGCTCGTGAATGGCCAGCTTAGCTCTCTGTGTCTGTCATTTGTTTATTTTTATTGTTGTGGTGTTTGTTTTTATCTCTACGAATGCGAGGGAGAAGAGAAGTTTGAAGTGTTTGGTTGCCGCTTTCGGCGTTATAACCTGGAACTTTCCCCATTAAATTACATTATTGATCCTGATCAACTTTCATTATGTTAGAAACAAAATAAAAAATATTAGATTACAGGTTGAACCTTTGTTTAGCTTTATCTAACTACTCTTCTTCATTGCCGCAAAATGTATGCCCTTTCATTATCTGAGCCACCTCATATTTTCATTTTTATATACTATGCATACATGTATTTTTGTATTTTAGTAGTGTTTAATTTTCTTTGAATCTTCCTCTCGGCAGCGATGTATGTAACCCTAAATTTATACTTACAAAACTGAGGTGTGAGAGATTTAACAAATGAGTTGAAGATGACGAAGGCGTGCATTTTGTGTAATCGTAAATATAATGAACCTAAAAGCTAATAGTTATAACATTGAAAATCCTGTATACTCTATGTCATATGTCTGTTAGCGTGTTCTAATCATTATTGACCAAGTAAATGAATGAAAAAGGATTAAAAAAAACAATTGAAGTTACAAAAGTTAGCACAAAAACTTTTTCTAATAGCACGATAATCATGATTTTACTATGCATTAATTCAAACGAAACTTCAATCTAATTATCTATTACAATGCATTGCATGGATATTAGTAAATATTAATTTCTCATTTGAGTTTATTTTTTTAATCACTCACGGTATACATGCATGGCTTAATTATTTGTTAACTAATGACTGCATAATATTAGCTTCTCTTTAGCATTTTTCACACTTCTAATTCCTAAATCCACGTTGTATCTCTTTCATCATTTTTCCTTCTTTTTTTTTTGGTTTTTGTTGTGGTCTGATTATATTTTGATATAAACGATATTAAGAGAGGAAGAATCGAATCAGGAATCTTGAAATATTCTTAATTAACCACTCGAGCTACAACAAGCCCTTCGTATATGTATCTTTAAACATGTTGTATACACATTAGTTTTACAGGTTGTAATTGGAGGTGCATAATAATTGCACGTGGAGTTGTTTAATAACGATTATGTTATTGTACTAAATCGAACGAAAAGAAACTACTTTATTCCATTCGACATGACTCAGCTCAACCATAATATTTGTCACTCTAGTGCTTGACACCTTGTAAACTACAGTATGCAACTCTTTTTCTAATTACCAACTTCTTTTTTCTTGCTTTTTAGGCAATTTTTTATATACCAAATGCCTTAATTTTCTAAAGCCTGTGGTCAAAAAGCAACTCGTAGCCAGTAGATGATTGATGCTCCTAATCCCAACTACCAAGAACAACACAGATACTTGATACTGTTCTTTAGAAGAATTAGGACTTGGAATTATTGCATGATACCTCCAAATCCGGAAGTTGAGATCGCGATGCCATGCGTGGCGGTGGAGTTTGCAAAGTCGCTTTTTTAAGAAGTCGCTTTCCATTTCATGTGTAGTAGCCTGCTCTTCACTAACTAAAGCACTTATGAGAAACGAAAGCGAGTGAGAATGGTGCGTGTGTGTGTGTGTGTTCATACACACTTTAATTTACGGGATGTTGATCTTTTTGTTTAATGGTAGAATATAATATATGTGAAACTGGATCAATTTTGATTACAGTGTCAGTAAGATGCTCAAAGTAGACAGTACTGATGAACTTCATTAGAGAAAAAAAAAAAGAAATTTAAGAATATAAAGAACATTCATAATCTTTTATGATACAAATTATGTAGCAAGTTAAGTTAGAAGCTGAAGTGAGGTGCAACTGAGAGAGTTATTCATGCAATCAGATAATTAGATATTTAATTAGGGTAACACAAAAATGGAAGAAGAAAAACGGCATAAAACCCAAATGAAGAAGATCATAACTCTTCAATACACACTAGAGAAATTAGAACTTCGGAGGAGTTTTGTTGTCTTTAGGATAGGATAACTAAGTTCCGTACGTTTCTTGTCGACAATGTACTTGTGTTTCATAATTTTTCATGTTCGAATGGAAGAAAAAAGATATTGTTTTTGAGTTTTTGTTTATGCAACAATACGTTTATATATCAAAATCACAATAAATAAAAAAGAAGAATCATTTTTAGTGTTTTTTTTTCAGAGAAAGGGGATTTTTTTTTTTTTTTTGGGGGAATTATTTTTAGAGACAAATATTATTCAGACATTTATCAGTTGATGTTTGGAAAACTTGTTCTAGATAATTGGAGAAAGAGGTTTTAGAAAATAAAAGAAAAGAAAAATAACGAGGGAAACCCAATCCAAGTAAGGAAGGGAAAGGCAACCAAACCAACTACCCAGGGCCAGGCAGGCTCTACCGAAATAAAGCGCACCATGCCTTTCGTAATCATGGCGACCCCCGAAAGTCGAGTCAAACAGTCGCCCCCAGATCACAGATAGCATTTAATCAATCGCAAACGCTGCAAACCCTAAACGGTGCCCAAAAGCCCCAACTTTATCGTCTTCAGCTTCGGGTTCAGGTACTTCCTCCTCCACCGCCTTGTTCAAATCCTATTTTCTTTTCGTTGATTTCGATTCTTCGGTCGATTAATTTGTTCTGTCGAAACCCAATTTGAATTTCATTTCCTAATTTACATAGGATGAGCCCATGGAATTGGAAGGCTAGGGGTTTCAGTTTTTTGTTAATTATTTTTTCCCGGGAAGAAAGATTGACGCTTTATGTGAACATGCACATATGAAATTTATTTGTTTTTGCATAAAGATTAATGTCTTGAATTGGGTTGATAAAGCTAGGGTTTTGGCATAATTTCATAGTTGATGGTTTAGTCCTTTTTGTCATATATGTATATATAAATTTGGGCATTCCTCAGAGTTATAACCTTAAGCTTGTTACATGAAACCTGAAAGTTAAAACCTTTGGCTTTAAATTTCTTTTATAAAGGGATTTCAAGTTCTATGTACTATGCATTGACTAGAACTAAGCTATTTTGGTGTTTTGGGACCGATGATTTGCACTGGTTTCTAATGTCTCTCCTCCATCCTTGTGGATTGGTACATTGCAGCATCAAGTGATAAATGCAGGATCCAAAGATGTCGCTTGCTGAGGAATTTTCGAATCCTAAGCAACGGAAAAAGAAGCCCTCAACCCAGAAAGCCCCATTGTTTCAGTTACAAGGGAATGATGCCAATGGGACTCCTCCACTTCCATTGAAACCAGGGCAAAAGGTATCCAGAAGAAATTTTAAGAATGAAGTTTCTCCATCGTTTCAGCAGCCAGAGAGGTCAAACTCAGATTCATTGCCAGACTCTTCTACTTCTGGAAGCGGGTATCGTGCACTAAGGCTCAAGTATTTGCTGCTGGAGGAAGAGAGCTTTGCATTGGGGAGAGATCTAAGAGAGGTTGAAGATGAGGTTAAGACGCTTGAGGATGAGAAGCTTGCTCTCTTGGACCAACTTGTGGTGCTAGAAGGCCTTGTTGATCCCTCAGAGTTGCACCCCCAGGGGTTACATTTATCATAGTTTAGCCCTTTATATCATTACTGGTTTATGTGGTTGAGTTGCACAGTTGTAAATTATTATGATATTCGATGTCAAAGACTGGGGAACGAATGTTATTGAATTTCTTTGGCATGCCTTGATAATTCAAAAGATGAATGATGCAGCTAGTATTTGGTATATGCATTGACTGTCTGCTGTCAATTTTTATTCAGAGTTAATGTTGCTAGTCAGGAAAATCACATTCGGTTCTTGAATTTAAGAAAACCAACACCGTTGTTTACGTCCATTAGTGCCACAGGAATTGCAGCTTAATATTATTTTTTGATTGGATTAATTCACAGAATCACAAACATGGATGCAGATGCTCCATCGAATACAGAAAGAAAAAGAAACCGTAGGAAGCAAGACGTCAAGGCACAAAACAACACAATTGTGCACGCCAACCTATCAAGGTTCGGTGCTATGCGTGGAATTCAAACCACAATGCTGAGTGACGGGGTAAATAACAAATAAAAATTTCTTCGATTTGCGTGGTTTATCAAATTATCTCATATCACCCAAAAGAATACAAATAATTTCATAATAATTCAGCCCGGGAGCTTAGAAATTGTAGGTAACCTAGGATATTAAACTATACTTGGTTCTGCATTGGCTTCTTAGTGTGTAAAGATCTAGTATCTGTGAGGAAATTCAAGGTCCTAATCTAATTACAATTTTCGGCCAATGGTTATCTCAGCAACCCCGAATTTGAATGTGCAACTCGCACAACCAGGGGGCTGGTAACCCTTGATCTTCCACTTATCCAAGAAAAGAACCCAAATGCATATCCCTTAGATGGAGCAGTCACCTTGAAATTTACAGTGAAGTTCATCTTCTCCCCCAAGCTATTGAAGATTAATTGATCTGGGATAATAGTAACATTGATTCCGATGGGTGAGGAGACAACGGCTTTATAGATACTCTTTGGCTTCCCAACATTGGTAACTGTTCTAGTTACTGAGAAGTTGTCTTCAAGATTTGGCACTGTGATAGATGGATAGTTCAGGTCGGATGCTGTTCTGAATGCGTGATCACATCTACTGTTGTCTTGTGTGATTTGATGCACCGTCTTCTCATCATAACCAACTGAACAAAGAAATGCTACATAATCTGCTGGCTGCGCATCATAGACAAGACCAGGATCAAGGACTCTTTTTGGGTTCACAAATCCTGAGCCATAATCAAACGGGTTACCCCTTCTTCCTTCCGGGTCCACTATGATGGGTTTGCGGTGCTTATCCAGAAGAGTAGCTGTATGTTCCAAAAATTGTCAGATTCTTCAATACAATCTTAGGCACAAAATTGATGATATTTAAGGTTGAGAGACCAGAAAAGCTTTTCTAATTTAAAGAGAACACTTTCTGTTTGAGAAAAAAAGTTTATTGTAGTTTCGGCCTAAGTAATTTTACCGGTAGTCATGATTGCAGATCTAATGGTTGCTGGTGACCATGATGGATGAACAGCTTTGATCAAGGCAGCGATTCCTGTTACATGCGGGCAAGCCATGGAAGTACCAGAAAGAATGTTGAACTGCTTGTCCCCTGCTGCTGGGGACCAAGATGCGAGTATGTTCAGTCCGGGCGCTGTGACATCAGGCTACAAAACAGGCTAATTAGAAGGTTATCTATGACATCTAGATAGAGCATGAAAATGTAAACCTAATAAATTACATAGCCAGTAAGTAAGCACAAGGTGATTTCTGGTTATTAGATAAAATTTACCTTCAAAATTTCGGGTGTCAAAGAATTGGGTCCTTTTGAAGAAAATGCTGTAACACGAGGTGCAGGTTTCAGTCCCAGTACAGTCTTTGCAGGGAAAATTCTAGACATTGATTTGCTGTGCACAGTGGTCTGAATCAGTTAAACAGAAAAACTCAAACTGTAAACTCAAACCTCCATGTTTTAGTTTATAAGACTAACCTTGTGCTTTTAATATGAGATAAAATATGATTTCCTATCTTCTGTCCAACAATGGCTGAAGGGATAACAAATGGTACAGCAATATCCTTATCTGCCTCATCAATGAGAACCATGCCGACACCACCAGCGTTTTTCACTAGCATACTTTTCACCATCTTTGACTCCGTTGAACTCTCAACATGCCGACAGACGAGAACCTTCCCTCTGGCCTTGGTTCTATTCAAGGAACTCTCTAAACAGTAACTGCAGGCACAAATAGAGAAGATGTAAATTAAGGTTTCGCTATGCATTGACATCTAAATAGCACTCACTTCCAAGTACCTTTTGATTCACCTGGATTGGTAGGGAGTGAAATACCCTGCATAGGCTTCAGAGGCAGAAATGATTCTTGCTGAGGCTTTCATTTCAAAGAGACTAAGACTTTCACCCTAATCATTTAGAGAACTTATAAGGCTTTACCAAAATAATCCCCAAGTCTTTCCAACAGAAAGAAGTAAATAGCATTACCGTGAATTTAGCACCATTTTCTAGTATGATATCAGAAGTGAAATCCCTATCTGTTGAACTTGCAGCAACAGTGATCATCCATGGGGCGAGATTTGTTGCAGAACCCGGGTTTCCTTCATTTCCAGCAGAAGCAACCACTAGAATACCATGCCTAGCAGCATGGAATGATCCCACAGAAATGGCATCACTGAAGTAGTCCCCCTGTGGAGCATCAGGACCCAGAGACAGAGACAAGATGTTAACTCCGTCTCTGATTGCATCATCAAAGGCCGCTAGTAAGTCAGCATCATAACAACCAGAGTCCCAACACGTCTTGTATACTGCAATCCTAGCCATTGGTGCACCTCCTCTAGCTCCTCCAGATGCCAATCCCTTATAAGTCATGTTTGACACATATCGGCCAGCAGCTATAGAGGTCGTGTGGCTGCCATGACCGGAGCTGTCCCTTGGAGATCTGAATGACACTATGTTTGTTGAATCTTCCTCGGCTTCATAGCCAGACTTGTAGTATCTAGCCCCAATCAATTTTCTACGGAAATAATTTTTAACCAGTTGAGAGATTACCAATCAATAAACGTCCATGAAATAAACTAATCAGTCAATATAAAGTCAAACCTGTTGCAAGTTGAAGCATTGAATGCTTCTCCTGATTCACAATGCCCCTTCCATCTAGCTGGCACTGGAGGCATGTTGTCATCATTAAAACTTGGAGATTCAGGCCAAATTCCTGCATGAGGCGGTGATTAATATTAAATAAACTATTTATTGCCCTCTCAACAATTAGTAAAATAAATAGCTTCTATCAGACCAGAGACATGCATGTGTTCAAGCATACAGACAGCAAAGTATTTGGGGCATGTTCATGTCACATGAGTCATGTGAGAGGATAATACGCCTAATAATATAAGCAAAACAGGGAATGTAAGTCAACAAACAGGCATGATGGTTGACTGAACAACCATACTTTACAATTATAGAGGGTGTGTTACAGATCCAGATGCCCAAAAGAAAGATTTAGTCAGAAATTAGAAGGGCAAAAAGAGTGATCAGTGCTTACCAGTATCAATGAAACCAACAATGACATTGACTTGGTTCTTTGTGGAAAAGCCAGTAATCTCCATGGTTTCTTCCCCCAAAAGACCCATGAAATCCCACGAATGAGTGGTGTGCAAGCTTCTTTTCAAATTGGGAAAAACCGAAACGACTCCAGGCATCTCTGTCAATTTGCCATACTTTTAACCACAAATCCATGAATCTATTCAAATTATAATTCCTGGAAGCGGATTGGGGAACTTACTAGAAATTTGGAAAGCTTGAAGGTCAGTCAACTTGGCTGCAAAGGCTCTGAAACCATGTCTGTAACTGTAAATGTGAGATTCTTGAGCTTGCTCTATGCTGTTCAACACCATTGATGTAAATCAGAGATAAGCAAGCAAAGCCAAAGTATAAATCAAGAAATGGTTTTGATTTGAATGAAGAAATAAAGGCAAGGACTTGCTGAAAGACTGACCTTCCACCATGCACAGAAGCAAGCAATTGATGGTTTTGCATCAAAATCTGATCTGGGTCATCACCATTTTTGCTTCCCATGTAAACTACATACACCTAAAACCCAAAAACAAGAAAACACTGAAACTACCAAACCAGAAAAATTAAAAATAAATTCTCAGAAGAACAATTCCCAGAATTGAAATAATACAAGCTATTTACCTTAGCTGAAAGGCAAATGTTAATTTCGGCAACAAGAACACAAAGGAACAGAAAAAGAATGCTGATGCTTCTGCTAGTACAACGAAAAGAAACCATTTTTTCAGGTGTCCCACCTTTTCCCAAAAGAGATAAATATATGTAGACGACCAAATAGTTAGAGAAGAGAGGGAAGAAGATGGGTTCTTTATATATAGGAGGATGAGAGAAATGTTCGCTCTTTTTTACGGAGATGCGTAATGTAGTGGTATTGCTTTTGCAAAATTACTCAGATACAAAGCAAAAGGAGACACAAACGTCGACGATGATCAAACGTGAAGACAAGAAATAGTGGCAGAGGAGAGTGAGTGGGTGAGCAGTGAGAAAATGAGAGAGAAATAAGGGAATTTTGCTTTTGGAGCAAACCAACCAACCACAGTGCCTCCCCTGTTTTACCCAAAAATCAACCTTAAAAAGTAACCCTCAAAACCGGACCGTTAAAAAAGTAATCTTTGTACTAAAAACACAACCAGTAAAGTAATAAAAAGCCGCTCATAACAGTGAAGTGAGCACTGAGCCACATCATCACCATCATCTTCATCTCTCTCTCTCTCTCTACTATTTTAATGGAGTTCACATGTAGTGTATATTAAGCATACGGTCCATTTTTTTACAAGATGTAGTAGACATTATTCGCATTTGGAGTTTAAAACCGTAGACTTTCGGGAAGATGATTTAGTAAATTACAATCAATTTTTATTTTAATAGAGAATGATATACTATTGATCTACTGACTACAGCTGCATTTAAAAACAATGCAAATACATACGGTTAAAAAGTTTGTTGCAACATACTAAAGAAATGATCCACAAACCATATGAGTCATAACCAAGTATGATTAGTGAGGCCTATTTCATAATCATTATAACCAACTTTTTCATGGATTTCATAATGATCTGATCTGATCTCTCTAAGATTTTCACACCCGTGACCCTTTACTATACAAATTATACAGTAATTATGATTCTTCACCCCGGTCTGTTCATCAGCAATATATTGTAAATATGTGATAGTAAATTCATGTTGATGAAAAAACTGTAACCAATATGGAGATTAGCGTGCGTATGCTGCAATGTTCTGTTTCCAAATCTTCTTTCTTCTATGAAAAGGATTGAAGGAACATCAACCGCAGAATAAACAAAGACAAACAACTAAACAGAGTACCTTAAAAGGGGGGAATTATATCACTCCAATTATTCATTCTTTAATTTGCAGAGGCCAATAAGAGACCAATGGCAAGTGTGAAATTATTTGGACATGAGCAGACAATTATACGTGAATTATGAGTCCAATTTGTATTTTTTTTAAAAATTACACAAAACATTAAGGGGACAGGCATTAATTATCAATATGTATCATTAATTTATAAAATTTCTATCATTTATGTTAAAAGTCTCAAAATTGTGTTGGAATTTTTTCCTCATTTATATGTGACACGGAATTTTCCAGAGGGAAAACTCAATTCCATTAAAAAAAATCATTTGCAGCTTATAAAAGTAATTCCTTTTGGTTTCACTTTTGAAAATTTTGATCAAGTACTAACAAAAATATCCATTGTTTCTTGAAATAATAGTAATAATAATAATAATGCACAAGCATATCGCTATCAGCTTCTTGAAAGCTCAACTGCCAAGTATCCCATGACTAGCTGAGCTGTTGTTGAGTGTAATTTGCATACTCGGGGCTTCTACTGATATTTCCAAAAGCAAGTGAACGTTTACCACAAAATCAATACCTATTATAAATAGATTGTCTGTTTTAGAATAGTTTCGATTATCGGTTGTTACTAAATGATTTGCGTTACGTAAGAACTAAGGTTGCAACTCAAGGGCATTGACAAGTTGACAATCAATCCTAACTTCACCCTACAAACTTAAATTTCAAGTTCAATCCATATGTTATCCCTGATAATTAAGAACTAATAATCTTAAGAAACATAGAAAAATCCCAAATGGAGCAATATGAAAAGCACTCGTACCATGTCTTTTGGTAAGCATTTCAATGGGTTTGTAACGGGAAAAAAAAGATTCTCCATCATGTCGCATGCCACACATCATGTAAAGGTAAAAGGCGAGGGGGGTTTGCTGTGTGTTTGGTAATGATGTTGATTATGATCATTGTTATTATGATTATGATGAATATTATTATTATAATTTCCAAATCACAACTTTAATTTACTCAAAGGGTATGCTTGTAGCCAGCCACAATCATTGCTTATGATGTTTTTTGCACGCAATTAGCCTTGGAAGGCACCCAATCTCACAATCACAGTTGATACAGCAGAAGGATAAGACGATTGACTAATGAGGCAAGAAATTATGTTGATCCTATTGGGAAGCTGGACTTTACCCTACAGTACAGATTCCCGTCTGCTAACATTCTTTTTCTTTTTTATAATCTTTTTAAAGTTATGGTTGTTAGCCATTTTCCAAGAGCGGAAATCATGGATCACAGTGGATTATCATAATGTTAATTATACTGCTAAGAAAATGATGGTTTTGTTCTTCTTTTTTATTATTGACTTTTTATTACAACATTTTTTATTGACAGAAAATTGGAATATAAAGATACTGTGATGCCGCAACAAGCTTGTATCTCAAAATTACCACATGATGTCTCGGTTTTGATTTTACCACCTATGTCTTGTGTTCGATTTTTCTCAAATTTACCACATGATGATGTCTTGTGTTCGATTTCCTTTGATGTTTTTTGGATATGATTTGTATTGAAAAAACAAATGAAATTGGTGAAAGGAGTCAAATATTAAGGACAAAAAGAATTAAACATGAGAGCAAGGGAGGCACGTGAACTTGTTATGTTACATAACTGATATGTGGCTTCTGTTGTTGAAAAGAAAAAGGAAATTAAAATAAACAGGGAGAGAGGAAGAGAGAGAGAGAGAGAGAGAGAGAGAGAGAGAGCATCATCTTGTCAGATAAAACAAAAGAGAACAGCAGTAAGGTAAGCTCTATGCTCCTCACCTCTCGTATCTCCTCTTCTTTCTTGTAATATTTCCAGTAATCATTTTGTTTTCTGTCAATCATTATTAGTTCAGTGGGTTGGTTTGGGCAGCTGGTGAAGTTCCAATTGGGTAAAGATTGCATTTTTCTCTGGCTGCCCAAATTCAGCTGAGCTAAGTGTTCATATAATCCATGAATTTCACCTGCCAAATTCATGTTATAAAGAAAAGTTCTTGTTTGTATACACTTCTGGTCAGATTTCAGGCACTTGGGTCTTGCTAATATTTGCCTTGTGTTGTGAATAAGCTTTATTTAGTTTTTATCTCCATTCCATTGGCTAAGCTGAAGTGCTGGACTAACCCATCACTTACTATATTGAAAGATTAGATGAAAGCTCTGATTTTTTTTTCCTTAAAAAACTTTAATTTCCTAATTAGATCAATAGAAATCGAACTGCGCAGCCTTTGTAAACAATGCTGCCACTTGTGTTTCCATGAACCAAAACAAATCATGAAAAGGAACTATACAGCGGGATGCTCTATTTTAATCTGTAGAGAATTACGAATTTGGGTTCTGTCTAAGTGAGTTCTGGCCTCTTCTTAGTGGCATTTTCACGAGAATTATTTAGATTTTGGTAAGCTAAATCCAGAAGAATTGCACCACTGATGAATTGGATGATCTGTTTGATTAATTTGATTGAATTCCCGGAACTTGTTTTTCAAAATTTAGACTTGCACCACTGGTGGATACATTAGTTGAGCATAGAAGAGATTAGTAAGCTTCCAATATGGCAAACTACCTCTAAATTAGAGAAGTCAAGCTGCTAATGTTTGTATTTCTTCATATCTCCAGTTGCAGTAAGAGAAGAACAAGGAAGAGGAAGAAACTATGGCTGCAACCTTATTGTTTGCATGCAACTCAAATGTAAACCATGGCTGTAGAAATGATAATCCCTCGCTGCCGAAACCATTCCTGGGTGGTGGACACAGAATCCTGGATCAAACCATTGCAAATAGGAACCAAGGCCATTATAACTCTCAAAAAAAGAAGTCATCTCGCAGGTTTTCTGTTTCTGCTGTCACCGAAGGTTCCGCAAAATCAAGCAAGTCCGAAGAAAAAATCCCCCCTTGGGCTAGACCAGATTCGGATGAGCCCCCTCCTTGGGCCCAGGGTGAAGGCAAGAATGATGGTTCACAAGAGGGATTTGAGATTCCCTTTTATGTTTATCTACTTGCCTCAGCCGTGACTGCAATTGCTGCTGTAAGCCCCCTCTTCCAATCCTTTTGATAAAATTGTGCCCTTTTGAAACCATATATGCCTCTTTGATATGCTCTATAACAGGAAAAACAATGTTGGAATGCAGATAGGTTCTGTTTTTGAGTATGCGAACCAGAAGCCAGTCTTTGGAATCTTGAACTCAGACAGCATATTTTATGCTCCAGTGCTTGGATTTTTTGTATTTACAGGCATTCCCTCTGCTGTAAGTTCCATTTCTTTCATTTTTTCCCTGGTTTTTCCCAGTTTGATATGCTCAATGTTATAACTAGGATGCATTTATATTTGAGTCTTTAAATCAATTCTATGGCCCTATACCGTGAATCTACCAATCGAAATCTTCTCAGTTTTGATTGTAACAGGAAAAAGAAAATAAAAAGGCTCTTTCCAGTTTTGATGACGTTTGTAGATACAAAAGAAGTTGAAAATCTATTTGTTGGCAATGTTAACTCAATCCCAGTTTTGGCTTCAAAACACGAATGTTAAATGCAGGCATTCCT